AGACACTAGCTATGGGGAAGGTATTTCACAATCAGAACAGGTCATATGAGCCTCAAGTAGTTACTGGCACAAAAGGTTTCTTTTCCCTCCTAACACATCTGGTTAGCCAAACTTTTAGGCATTGATTATCGCATTGAATATAGAAAGAGAAAGGAAAATATTATTGCTAATGCTCTATCTAGATGTACTAACAGTGAGGTGCTCATCTTTATATTGTCTACCATTTTGACCAACTTGTTAGAAGTAGTAAAAGTGTCCTAGACTATAATACTTTGTTAAAGATCATTAGCAATCTAAACATAGATCCTAGTTTGCATCCATATTATACATAGTTGAATGAGCATCTGTACAGAAAAGAAAAGCTGGTGGTGGGCAATGATTTTAACTTATAAGGGAAACTAATCTCCATCTATCACGACTCTGTCATAGGAGGGCACTATTTTATTGGAGAAAACAATAAAAAGATGTGAGGACATATGTGAGAGAGTGCCACACCTGTCAAAAAAATAAGAGCAAAAACGTCCTAACACCTGGCTTACTTCAACCTTTTCCTATTCCCCAGGCACCCTTTGTGAACATCAGTATGGACTTCATTGAAGAGTTACCCAACTTCAAATGAAAGAATGTTGTTTTATGTGTAGTAGATAGGTTCAGCAAGTATGTCCATTTCATTGCTTTGTCCCACCTCTATACAGCTGCATCGGTGGCATATGCTTTCATAAATAACATCTACAAACTACACAGTTTACTTGCTTCTATAGTGAGTGACAGAAACCCAATATTTCTAAGCAAATTCTGGAAAGACTTATTCGTCTACCAAAGCGTTCAACTATTACATTCAACAACATATCATCCCCAAACAGAAAGGCATACAAAAGTGGTGAATCAGTATTTGAAACAATATTTAAGGTGTATGACAAGCGAAACACCTGATCAATAGTCCAGATGGCTATCCTTAGCCGAATGGTAGTATAATATCAACTATCATTCATCAATCAAGTTTACACCCTTTAAAATTCTATATGGTTAGGATCCTCCGATTCACATTCCTTACCTGCCAAGGATTCTAACATAGAAGCTGTTGACAAGCAATTAACTAAGAGGGAAGACAGGCTTAAGTCAATCAAAGACAATCTCAAGATAGTTCAACATCTTATGATCAAACTAGTAAACAAGAAGCATAGTGAACATATGTTCAAGGTGGGAGAGTTTACTTAAAATTACAACCCTACAAGCAACAAACGGTCAGAAGGAAGGGTTCACACAAGTTAGCAGGCAAGTATTATAGTTTTTACCGAGTAATTGATGGCATAGGGACGATAGCATACAAATTATGCCTTCCCAGTTCAAGCGTCATACACCCAGTATTTTATGTATCCTAGTTAAAGCAACATGCAGGGAATAAGATGGTATACAACAACTTACTTGTCCAAAATCCACATTCAGAGTTGCAGCCCCCAGCCAATCTTGACAGGAGGATGGTCAAGCACCAAAATTAGACAGCAACACAAGTCTTAGTTTATTGGAAGACCTTATTATCATATAAAAGCCACCTGTAAATTTGTTGATGACCTCCTTATGAGGTACCCACAGTTCTCCCTCGAGGACAAGGAAATTTTTTAAAGGGGAAGGTATTGTTGCAAACCAGGAAGCACAGTAGCAGGAAAAGGAATTTTAAACCAAAAGATCATTGATGAAACGATGGCGTTTCAAGGACGCTAAACCTGCTCTTTAGTTACACGCACCATTTAAATAAATCCACTACCAGCTTCAGTCTTGTGTTTTTAATTCTGTTGTTTGTTATTATTACGAGAGTCTCGTCTTACTCAGATAACAAACTCTAAAATCTACCCGCTCCTGTAATTGTGGCAATGCATGTAACAGAACAAATGAGAGATATACAATGCAATTGTCGTGCTTCTCCCCTTGTATTTCTCTTTATCTCTCTTTCTCTTCTGCCTTCCTCATTCCTCTATTATTCTTCATATTTTTATGTTAACTAGAAAAGCCCCTGCCGCCTTAACTCAAAGTTCATGTAGCTCCATTAGCCCATCTACCATCTATGTCTTGCCAGGCAGGTTCTTTCTACAAAATGTAGAGCTTAAGGGTCCACGCAAGAACAAAGTGATCGTTGTACGTATAGATGGCACACTTCTAGCTCCGACCGATTATCGGATTATTGGTAATGCTGGAAACTGGATTTTCTTTCAAAATGTTGATGGTGTTACGGTTTCTGGTGGGGTTCTTGATGGACATGGCTCTGGTTTGTGGGATTGCAAGCAATTTGGCAAGAACTGCTCGAGTGGTGCCACGGTATGGCATTCACCATTGTGACCACTCTTTTACTTGTTTCAAGAAAATTTACACAGTATTGCTGCCTTGATCATTCACTTAAGCTCTAATTTCGCAAGAATTAATTAAGAGCATCACTGTCAAATATTGTAGTTAGTTAGAGCCTTCATTATGTTTCAAGCAGATATAATTAAATGCGTTAATTATGTCTATTCTAATTGAAGTTCATTTGTGTGCATGTGCAGACGCTAGGCTTTTCAATTCAAACAGCATAGTAATCAGTGGATTAACTTCATTGAATAGCCAAATGTTCCACATCGTTATCAATGGTTGCAACAACATGAAGATTCAAGGGGTTAGGGTTAGGGTTACGGATTCCGGGAACAGTCCAAACACAGACGGCTTTCATGTTCAATTATCGAGCAACGTCACAATATTGAGCTCCAAGATTGGAACCGGTGATGATTATGTCTCAATCGGTGCCGGCACAACTAACTTGTAGATTGAAAATGTTGTGTGTGGCTCTGGACATGGAATTAGGTAATGAAATTAAATCATTAATTAATTATATACAGTGCTGTTAATATGTGATGATGCTATATGATGTGGGGCTTAAATGTGTGGTTTCTTCCTGCAGAATTGGAAGTTTAGGCAAGGACCTTAATGAGCCTGGGGTGCAAAATGGGACTGCTAAAACGATTGCATTTATTGGCACTCAAAATGGGTTGAGGATCAAGTCTTGAGGGAGGCCTATCAATGGTTTTGTTAGGAATGTACTTTTCCAGCACACTGCCATGACCATCGTTCAGAATCCCATTGTTATTGACCAGAACTACTGCCCTGACAACATAAATTGCCCCAGCCAGACAGGATGACCCTATGTGTTTATTCTTGTAATTGAGATAATTTGGGTCTAGTCTGGTTAACATGGACTACTTTTATTTGCTAAAATGTGCTTTATGATTTGTTTTGAACAGGCTTCTGTGTTAAGATTAGTGATGTGATTTACCAAGACATACATGGAACATCAGCAACACAGGTTGCAGTGAGATTTGACTGCAGTAAAAAGTTCCCATGCACTGGGGTCAAAATGGAGGGTGTGAAGCTCACTTACAAGAATCAACCAGCTGGCGCATCTTGTAACAATGCTGATGGAACAACTTCAGGTGTCATCCAGCCCAATAATTGCCTTGAGGAAAATAGTCGTAGAAAAAACAAATTAAAAACTGACTGTGATGCTGCATGATTATGTCAGGCAAGCTATTAGACGTAGTTTACTACTTGGCCTGTGGTGTTTCTTGGAGCCCGGCCTTGATGATTATATATGGTGGGAAAAGATTGTTCAAGTTTGTAATTCGTAAAGACCCTTCTCTCGGTTCTTATTTACGATAAATCAAATCCAGTAGGTCGAACTAGTAACCTAAAATTTGATCCGGATTGTGTTTCATTTTGAGCTGTTTTTACATGCATTCTGCATTCCACTTAACTGTTGGCATGGACATGAACTCTCCAGCCTTGGGATTGGCAACCAATAATCCATAGTTGTCAGTCCTTAATACCATGTGTCGCTGCTAGAGTCAAGCAAGATGTGATTAATCTGTGAGAGTGAGGACTGCCTCCAAGCAGATAGCTGAGACCAATCAGAATTCCATAGATCTTTACTCCAGTTTTGCTTCTTGTTGAACTCTCGCTATGACAAATTCAGTTGAGAAGTGCAACAAGGCTAGGTTCCTCGACTAGGATTCGGTCCATGGGTGATGACGTCAGACTAGATACACTTGTCACTTGGACTAAGGCTCGGCCCTCAAGGGTTAAGCATTTAGTTTGATAAAATTCTCGCTTGCGATAGTGCGATTTTGCTACATTTCGTCTGTCACAGTAAAGACTTAAAATGTGTGACTGCATTGCTAGAAGGTGAATAAGGTGTGCTCTATGCTGATCTAGAGGAACCTGAAGCTGACTAGAGAATTTCCCCACTACATGATGCTGCTGCCACTGGTTTTGTACTTTGTTGAAGTGGTTTGAGTTATTGCTTTGCCACAAAGCGACGAACGGATTTGAGAATCTAGTATTCAGAATTACCATATCACAATATGCTTCCTCTTGATTAATTATGCCTTCTACTGCATATGGTATGAAGGGTCGCCATTGTTTATTTATTTATTCATCATCGGAATATTGGGACTTTTGGCATTGAGATTCGGTAGAATCTGACCCGCGTTACTAGTTACGATGCCAACTGACTTGCTAGTAAGTTTCCTTAAAAGTAAGCAACAACACTGTGGTTAAACAATAGCTGGTAGTCAAAAGCAATACACCGTGGGATATGCAATCGGCATCCAATTGTCAACCATTTTTCACTCAAGTTAACGTAGCAATTTCGGCAACAGGGATTGATTCTGACTGGCAAATTTAGTAACAATCATTGCATACTTATAAGACAACTATCTGATCCATCACAAAAACCACTAAAATCTGCCCCCTTGCACCCTGCTGCGGGTTTCTCAAACTGTGCAGTGCATTTGCTGGTTTGTGTCATGCTTTTACTGCCAGATTGCATGGTTGTGATAAACAATATATACGAACACAATATTTGCTCTTCTGCAGGAATAAGCACTGTCCCTCGCTCTCAGCATACAACACTTGATGAAAGAATGTTAGGAATACTTGACAATTGTGTACCAAAACTCAAATGATGAAGTGGGGCATGTCAGGCTGAAAGAAGCTAGAAAAATATATTGGCCATTCTTTTGAAAAATCTTAGGACACTCGGACATTGAAAATTACAATTGGAAATTTCTAGCTAACTTTTCACAGAATAGATACAGGATGATGATGAGAAGCAAACTCACAGCAGTAGCCGTGACAAACAGCTGCTTCTTAAGAGGTCAAAGAGTAAATTATGAGCTCAAACTAGAAATGCATTGTATCTACAAAACTTCAACACTGTCGTTTCATTTGCTAGAATGGGGCTGATGTCGTTCTGCGAAGCTGATACTTGGGTTCAGGGATACATGGCAACATATTCTCAAGCTCCTGCAAATTAAAGGACAACAAATCAAAAACGTAATTAACGATAAGAAAGAGAGGAAAATGAATTCAACCAACAACTGTCTCACATCCAGTGACAAGAGATGATATTCTTGTACTCAATGAAGTGACTGTGTACATACAAAGTGATGCCAACAATACATAATTATCACCACAAGAAAACGAAGCATAACCTTTTGCTCCACAACATCAACATAAACAAGAAGCTCATTCATCAAGAATCCCTTTATTTTATTCTACTTGAATCTAAAGTTTTAGAAACTAACTAATACTCATCATCTAATTTTCTTTCCCAACCACCTATGGGTGGGGGGGATCTTCAAAATGTCTTGCATGCCTCTAACACGAAACTAGTTAGATTGATCTTCATTTCTCAATCACAACCTACGAGGGGGCAATCTTCAAAATGTCTTACATGCCTCTAACATGAAACTAGTTACATTGATCTTCATTTCTCAATCACATATAGCTATCCGACAATTTATAACTGATTTAAGTTCCATTTGCATGTCTGTGATTCAATTAAACCTTTTGTCTTGGCCCTGGCATTGGACCAAATTTTTTTAGCTTCAAATTAATTTTGAGTTTTTGGATTATTTTAATGTAATGATGTAAGAAATTTTATTTTAAAAAAAATATTATTTTGATGTATTTTCAAATAAAAAAAACACTATAAAAAACAACTTTTATCACACTCCCACGCAGATCCTTTATCACAAAGCAAGCATGAAGATCATTCATTCAAATCAAGGGGGAGGAGGAAGGAGAAAAAGAAACTAAAACAGACACACATGATAAAGGTTGCATCGGAAGGGTAAATGAAAAGAAATCCTCACCCTTAGTTTCCTCAGTCTTCCATTTTCCTCTTCCAGCCGAGAAACTTTGTTCTCCAGCTCGTTTGTGTAAGCCTGCTTCCGTGCCCGTGAACGGGCGGCAGATTCACGGTTCTTTATCATCCTCTTCTGCCTCCTCTCAACTGTTTTCTCAAACATATTTGGCACGGCTCTTTTTCTTGCTAGTGTCTGTGTATCTGATAAAGTCCCCATCAAGGGTGGAGGTAACGGCACCTGGTTTTTGGGGTATGAAACATCCATCATAGAACCAGAACCCATGTGAAGTGGCTGTGGCATAGGCTGGCCTGGCATATAAACCTCCACCATGCTTTGTTGTGGATGTTGATACTGTGGTTGTGGTGGGCATTGCACCCATTGACTTTGTTGCAGAAACTGTTGTGCTGCATTTGTATCAACCAAAACAACAGAACCACCATCATCTTTCTTGTCCACGGATGCTTCAGCTACAACTCCTGCTTTTACCAAGAAATCCTCCAACGTCATCTCTCCAAAAGTAGGCTGCCGCTCCTTAGACTTCATCTCCTCATCACGTTTGCTTTGTTGGATGTCTTTCCAAACCTCATCAACTGTCTTCTTGCTCAGAGCACTAGTTAATGATAGGCTTGCCTGGCGTTGCAGAGCAGTTTGATTGGCTAATGGTGTGCCCTCCACTTCCAAAGCTGTAGTCTGGGCAGCCTCCACCGTCCACACATTTTTTAGAAGTTCATCAAGATTCATGCTGCTTAGGGGTTTCCCCAAGTCACCCAACTGATTTTGAACCTCGTCAAGAGTAAGACTGTACATTGAGTTTTGCCGCACCAATGGCTGGAACTGAGATTGCACATGATGACTACTGCCATCACCTTGAGATCCCATTGTCTGCGTCCCCATTCAACAACCTTCACCTAAACATTCAAAATCTAAAACTAAAAACCCTTAACAAAAAAACTCTCTAAACCCTAAGCTTGTCTATGAACCACGCTGATCCAATCTTCAAACTCACCCCACAATCAGAACCTGGAAAGCAGAGTCAACAATTTAGAAATACAGCATAAGATTATCAGATAACACTCTCCAAACTGCCAAAGAAACTCTGATTTGAAGAAAATATGAACAGAGTTTCAAGGTTTTTATATATACTATGCAAGACCAGAACTAAAACATCCAAAAATAATTATCTCAAAAAACTAAACCAATGACCTCCATTCAGCATGGTTAACAAAATCAAAGTAATTGAGTATATAAGCAAGATGCAAAAAAGCCCCACGAACAAAGACGCAGCATAAATCCCTTGATTAGGAGATCAAAATTTTTTTAAAAAAATAAAGCTAGAACTCCTAGAAGAGAAAATAACAAGAAGATTCACCTCAAACCATTACCATCGTTAAAAACTTAAAACCCATAAACCCTACCAAATAAATTAGAGCAGCCAACTCACTAGAATCCAAAATGCACTGAAATGAGCTAGTCAAAATATGTATCACAGTGTCTAACGCAGCACTTTGAAACCAATGAAGTGATCAAAGCCAAGTGAAACAACATACAAAAAGAGAGCTATAGAGCTATAATCTTTTACATGCAAATGCAAAAGCTCAAAGCTTTAGCCTTCATTGACCAAAAACCTTAAAACCCAAATCCCACATAACAAAATAATCCACATAATCACAATTTTTCAATACCCGGATTACTCGGTTTAAAACTTTTGCATGAAACATAATCCAATTCTCGAAAGAAAGAAAAATCTTTGAAATATTTACATAAAGTATGAAATCAAAGTCCTCCTAAACCAGACAAAGAAACAAAAAAAAAATCCCACAAATGCAAGTGAAAAACAACTACTTCGAAATGAGAAGTGCTGTAAAAGAAGGGATTTTTCATTTTTTGTGTTATATATCAACAAAGTGAAGTAAATAAAATGAAAGCAACAAAAGGGACTTACTTTGTGATCCAAGAAACAGTGAAGTGATATCAAAGAAAGGAATTTTTGTTGCTGTTGTTGATTTCAGATAAAAATATTATTATGCATTCACGCTTAGAGAGAGAAAGGGGAGAGATAACTCAAATATCTCAAAATGTCCTAAATTAAAAATAAAGTTAATTGGTCCCATTTTTAGTTTTTTTTAGTATATGGAAATCAGTAACATGGGGGAGACCTCATATGATTATCATGGAAAATCCCACTCATTTGCTTCTATAAGACAAGTGGCACTTTTTAGTTTATGATGAAATTAATGATTTTAACATGAATAATATACTTTTTAATTAAAGAGAAAAAAAATAATTTTGATGTGCATTCCAAGAATACCATTCACTTGTGACATCTTGCATATCATCAATTTCAGGAGAAGTAATTGTATATATAATTTTTTAAAATGTCATGAAACACATATTTTCAAAGAAATATGATTAATAATTACTATGCATGTTTTAATATAAATAAATTTAAATTTAAAATATTTTCTTATAATCTATATTAAATAGAAAGTCATGTGAATTCCACTAATATTGCTAAAAAACTCCTTTATTTTGAAAAATTTTCTTTTTTTATAATTAATTATAAATATCAGTACTGTTAAACTTCGTATAGTTTAATAAGTTAATTTACTAACTCACAGGATTGATATCTAATTCAAGTTAGATTTTAAATTTGATAGAAATTAATTTAATTGACTTGGTGAAATAATTTATGATAATGTAAAAATTTTATTTGATTTTTATAATTTGTTTTAAAATTATATTATATTATTTTATTTATTTAAATATTAAAATGATATTATTTTTAATCTAAATTAACTTTTAAATATGTTAATTAAGTTTTAAACTGGATCGAGTGGGGTTAGATTTAATTAATATTTAAAAATATAATAATTATTTTTTAAAATATTTTTTATTTAAAAATAAATTAAAATAATATTTTTATCTTTTAAAGTTATTTTTAACATCACATCAAAATAATTCAAAAATAAAATAAAATAAAATTCAGCTGAAACACATAATTTTAACAAATAAGATAGCATTTATAAAGTAGTGTAGCGTAGAGAAAGAAGAGCTCATGAAGAAACAACAGTGATGACCTCAGAGGAACATAACCTAAAAAATAAAAAATTACCAAGGCAGGCTTTTCATGGACCCAAAAAAACTCCAAACCAAAGAGTTTTGTCCTCTACTGTAAAGTCTGGAAGTTTTTGGATCATAATAATATTCTCTGCGCTCTCTCTCACTGCGGTTTGTCTAAGACAATTTAACCCTCCGTGGGCACGTGGCACTCTAATATGTGCATGTAAAAAATTCAAACAAGTCCCCCAACTCTATAGAGGTTCTCCATTGAGTTTCCTACCATCTTTTTTTTCTTTTGTCTCAGTCAGGTTACAATGTTAATGAAATTTCCAATTGAATCCCATCACCCGTGCTTGTTAACGGATTCCTCCTCACACACTTAAGCTCAAAAACTATGTCATTTCTGTAGATGATTTATTGATATTTTCGTTAAGAAATTGTTAAAAGTTTAGATGCACGACTCATTCGAGAAACTTTCGGGACTTGATCGAGACACACTACCATGGGGACCCTTTTTTTCCTCAAAGAAAGCAGTGTTTTCCCTTGCAAACTGCGATGAAGATATGGCTAATAGTCATTTTGCCTTCTAAGAACTTGGACAAAACAAAAATCATATATAATTTTGATAGAACTCTGATGTTATAAGCAAAAGACAATGACTATGGAGTTGCATCAGTAAAATCATCTGATATATCTGTTGTCACCTCCTTTTTGAAAAACAATTTGAGGTATGGAAGAACATTTGGGAGCACAGGCAGATCTGCTATGTTGATACTCACAAAGTCAAAAGCAATGCAAGTTTACTGAATGCATATCTCATCAAGTGATGGGATTTTGGGGTATCTAAGGCTGCAGTGAATGAGAATAAGGCGGTATGCATCAGCAGAATCTCCCGCTCCTATGGCCTCCTTAGTTGTGCTGTGGTTTCTTGCTACAGCCTCCCTTAGCATCCCATCCTCAAAAGTTGCCTGGAAATCAAAATCAATCCTGTTAATTAATCATGCAGTGTTTCTGACTTTCGTTACTGAGTCTGTGAGCTTCAATTGAAGTTTGGCAAAGACGAGGAAAAATTATCACTATGAGCGTCAAAATGATCCGAATAAGTACATGAGCTAACACTAAAAGTTCTAAAATAGATGATCATAGATGTAGTGGGTCTGATCCTCATGCAATCACCTTAAGCTGAATAGCTACCTAATACACCATGAAAGCAATTAACCGAAAGCTGAAAAGGAGACACAAAGGTTTCATAGTCTTATTTTCTTCATTTGTAAAATAAAAAAGGATTTTGAAAGGCAACCATGTATAAATCACCACAATCACATGGAAAGCATGCTAAAATTTAAGCCATAAAGAACCCTGGCTTATTATGTGTTCATTCGTAAATTATGGGGCCATAGGTACTTGCCTCGTGTACAAGAATTGATGCTCCATGAACTGCTTCTATCAGCTCCATGCATGGCCTAGTGTCACCAGAGTACACAAGCTTCCATCCTGGTATCACTTTTTCAGCACTGTTGTTTCTCTCTCTGCTTTCAAGACAATATCAAATGCCTCAGGGCAGTGCACAACTGGAGAACTGATTAGTTTCTCCAGCCCTGCTTCACCGAGAGCTTTCTTCAAGCTCTTCAGTAAAGAATAAGCCACAACATTGCCAACAGGCTCGTTCAGTTTCTATCTTTTTGAGCAGCCCTGAGAAAAGCTTTCTTCAGAAAATGAAATGAACCCGGAATTATTTGTAGCTTTATTATGTCCTCGGTATCACCCTCAAAAGAATTCCAACTATATGCAGTTGTGCGAGTAAGGATGGTTCTCACATAAATTATCTAGCCTAGTTTTGTGCTACATGAATGAATAAAGATGGGGTATTTGAGTATAATAAAAATAATTTTAAGAAAAAAAACTAAGAAACAACTCAAATTAAAATATCAAAATCAATAAAAAAAACAAACCTTAGTCTAAATCAACATCCACCTTCGAGTTTTTTACAGCTGATTATCAATGCAAATATATATCGATTCATGTTTTTAATATTTTTTATTGGAGCTATTTTCCTATCTTTTCTTAGTTGCAGTTAATTAGAAAACAAACAATCTAATAAACCCTAACTACTTAACAACTCAAGACAATCACTAAAAATTTAATCCAGGAACAACCTTAAAAATTTTAAAGGGATTAATAAAGCTAAACAATAAAAACATAAAAAGTTACGTTTAATTTTATCAAATACTCTCCTAAGACTTATTAATTTTTGAAACAGCAAATCATTAAATCTTAATAACTTCACAAATTAGAGAGATCAAACAATTATAGATTTTATATCCAACTTAGCAATATATTACAATAAATAATAAACGAGAGGCCTCCAGATAATTAAATGAGACAATCATGAAAATAGACACCAAAGAACATTTAATATTCAAAGCACATGATTTGGCTCAATAATTCATATCCCTCAAAACTCAAAACATGAAAGTTGTAGTGCTTTTTTTCAGGATTCTATAGCATTCTGAATCATCTCAATCAAAACTCGAATAAGAGAGTTATGCCTGGATTATGAAGAGTGTTGAAACTATCTAAAATCGTCAAATTAACTTTGTTTTGCCCTTAACACCTTTATTTACATTCTAAATAAAAATATAAAAATAATGAATATATTTAGCCATCAAATTGGTATAAAACAAACATTACAGGGAGGAAAATATGACATTTTGCATTCTCATTATGCTGATTTTGAACTCACCATAATATGTAATAAATCTGACTTAACAGAGTCTCCACGTTGCAGTATTCTATACTTTTCCTTGGCTGTGAGACCAAAAGCATCAGCTTTTTCTTTGTTGAATTTTCCCCTAATTTCATGCAATTCACACACATATATTACAGATATCTCACAAGGCTTTACATGTGATCCTTCCGAAAGGTGTGGTAGCAAGAGAATTGCTGATATTTTGACAGCCGTATTGCCAACAAGAACATCGTGGTCATCAGAGATGAGTTTGGTGTGAACAATGGCAGCATGTGGGATGAAAGACTTCATCGCTTCCATCAACAACTTAAGATCTGAAGGACCCCACAGATTGACCTTGGAAACAAAATAAACTACGATTACGTCCCTCTTCCTCTACAATCCGCAATTCATTAGAGAACAAACTATGGCAAAGAAAGCAGGTATATGTAAAGAGAATTTGATGATACTTACAGACATTCCTTCTCCCATGCCAGCCAAAGTCAGAAGCAAGCCCATGGGATAGGATAAAATCTTAGCAATTAAGCCGCTTTTATGCAACAACCATTGCTTGAACACCCTAATATTAATGAATAAGACTTCTTCTCAATAATCATATTGAACTACTAATTCCTTGTCTGTCAAGACTTGCAATTAAAAGAGAATTTAAGCCTATAACACAATATATAGCTCATCTACCAATAGTGTAAAAAACATAAACCTGGAAGTCCACCTGTTGTCTCCGGGCAGACACGAGAGAGATACATAATCAATTTAAATTTAAATCCACAACATCAATAATCCCACAAAAACCAAAGCAATGGAATTTCACCAAATTCACACCAAAACTGAACATTCTTAAATACTAAAAACATTTGATAGCTTAATTTTATGCTCGGCACAAAATCTTTGCAATCCCTGCAAACCCCAACATCACAATCATTAAAAGCAACATCACACCTTCAAAAAGTCGCTCTCTTTAACATCGAATTACAGCACCAACCCATTAACGATTACCACTCTATCATTAAATATAAACCTTTGGTTGTCAAGAAAGAGCAAAACTGAAGGCAATGTATCATGAGTATCCATTCCAGTCCCCAAAATCCAATCAAGAAACCAAAAAAAAAAACACTATGATCACATATAAAACCACAAGTATTATATTCCTCCATAAAAGAGAACCTTTGAAAAAAAAAGGAAAAAGATAAAATACCTGAACATAAGCTGTGGTGTTGACTACATCACCATTGCCATTGTTTTGCCTCAACTTCTTCTTCTTG